TGTTGCCAGACCCCAGCCCCCTGCTAGCACTCTGAGGCAAGGGAGGGTGTGCAGTGCATGCATCTGTTGATGATACAGAGCTTTTCAATCTCCCTCTCCTTGCTTCTTTATACTGCCTGCAGCAAACTGACAGGTGAGCAAGCCAGCAGGGGGCTTATAAGTGTTTATCACCTCATCAGCAAAACAACAGCCTCTCTCCATTAGTTCCAATTTTTCTTAAACAGCTTAATAGCTGACCTGTCGATTAGCTCCAAAAAGCCCTATGTGATCACTGTTCTGTCAGCCTGTCCCAGTGAAATTGGAGACAAGCTCACACAAATACCTCTCGGCATTAGCTAGCATAACACATGCCTAGGGTCTGTGGGGCTAGGATCAGTGCTGTGGGAGATAGGAGGGAGGGGGAAGAATCCCTGCTTGTCCAGCAAGCAGTGAGGGGGTGTGGGGGTAGAGCAGGGAGAAGCTAGGCAGATACTGCTGTACCTGCAGTCTCTGCCAGAGCTCCAACCAGGGAGCAAAGGGGAGGGGCCTGCCCTGCTGTGAAGCAGAGAGCCCACCCAGCCCAGAGAGCATGCTGGGATGATGGGGGTGTCTGATTTAACTTGAACCAGCAAGGGGTCTGGGACAGATATTACATAAACCAATTTAAGTCATTTTCAAACTGGTTTATGTGTACTGAACATCTGTTCTGTTACATGTTTAAACCAGTTTCTGATAACTTAAACTGGTTTATTTGTAATGTCTCTCCCTAGCCCAGACGACACAGCTCTGAGGGTCATTGGAGTACACAAGCCTCTCCACCACCACAAAGTTATGGTCCAAAGAGAGGACTTCTGGGCTTAATGCTCATGGAAAAATGTGTACAGGGTGTCACAACCCAAGGGTGTGATTTTTGTTTTTGTGTGCTTCGGCACTGCTAAATTGTTCCCGCTAAATTGTAGCTTCTTTGCACGGTGGAGTTTTCTGCTGCAAAAGAGAACCCTGGTGCAAAAGAATTCCCGCCACCAGTAGCTTTCTTTGCAGGGTGCATTTCTTTGTTGCAGCACAGAAATGCTCGTTGCAAAGAGTTCCTGCCATTCGTATTCAAATTTGTGCCCCACCATTGGCCAGTTCTAAATTATTCACACGTGGCGGCTAGTAATTGGCTTGCTAGCCATATAAAAAGCTTGAGTGGTTTCCGCCCAAGTAGGAGGACTCCATGAAAAAAGATCCACGGAGCCTAGCAAACTTCGTGTGAGTCTCTTCGCTTCAAATCCCTGCGCGCAAGTTCCACGGAGCCTAGCAAACTTTGTGTGAGTCTATTCAGAGCTCTTTCGGTTCGAGTACTTTCTTCGGTTGGCGCGATGGGCTGGCGGTTTAGAGCCTCCAACCAGATGGGCTAGAAGAGTGTTCACGGGAAGGAACTCTAGTCTGCCTCTTATCTTTTCTATCTGTAACTGTAACTCAAGCAAGTTTTCCTGCCTGCACCGCGACCATCTTTGGTGTAAGTAAACAATCTTTAAATCAACCATTACGCATCTGTGACTAATTCTAGCCCGTGCATGCCTTGCCGCCGCACGGTCTCCTCTGACCCCGCGTGCCCGGGCTGCTGGCCACAGCCCACGTGCGCAAAGACGGGTCCGCATATCGCTCCCAGCCCGCACATGGCAACATGGATGGGATCGGGAGGTGGCCCGCACACAGGGATTCAAAGAAGAACTCACTAGAGCAGTTTGAAAGGGATGTAGACATACCCATAGTTAGGGGCCCACCTAAGTCACAGTGAGACAAAGGGTTTTTCACAGCCCACTCACAGCACCCAAAGCCGATTTTTGTCATCATTTCATGGTGGGCCAACCCCTTACTGCTGATTGGTAGAGGGACCCTGGCAGCCCCATCCCTCACTGATAATAGGTGGAAGGTACCTTCATTCAGACTATATCATTACCACTTTTTCCCCGCCCCTTGCCACTGATTGGTGGGGGGGCACCTTCACTCAGTCTACATCACTACTGCTTTTCTTTTTGGTTGATTTTTGCAGGAAATCACAGCCAGTGCTGGATTTTGCAGACATCACAGATAATGCTGTTTTTTGCAGTTTCTGTGAAATCTGCATAGGGTATGTTTATACTGCAGTCCCTGTATCTTATACAAACATAGTTAAGTTAGTTTTAACCAGGAAGCTGGGTAAATACCTGGGGGCTCTTTTGGCCAGACACAGCTGCATGCTGCAAGGGCTATTCTGCCACCTATTTTAAAGCTAGCTCAAGTACAACTTTGCCAATTTCAATCACTGAAATGAAGACATACACTTAAAGATATAAACTTAGCTGTCTGCAAAATATGTTTCAAATACATGATGTAGTGCTGGGAATACTGTGCACTAACTTTCAGAATTAAAAATATTTCTTAATACAAACATGTGCTTTATATTGGAAAGGAAGGATGGTCTTGAGGTTAAGACACCAAACTACATAGCAGGAGATCTGGGTTACTCTGCCACTGATTTCCTAGATGACCTTGGACAAGCCATTTAATGTGCTGTGCCTCAGTTTTTTGAGGTGTGCAACGGGAATTCTACTGCTGCTTAATAATTAATTATAGTTATACTTCTTTTCTCTTACCTTTTATCTGTTTTGTCCCTTTGGGGCAGGGACTTCTGTTTCATTATGGGACAAATTCTTTTCCACCTATTGGGCATCTAAGTGAACTAAGAAGCTGAAGTGCATTTCCACCTTGTTCAAGTCCCAAAAATCCATCAATGACAGAAAAGGAGCAAGGAGGAGGAGGAGGGCCCACCTGTTGTATTAACAGTTTTTCAAGGACTAAAGCAGAGTGGTATGGAATCTGACAAAGGCACCCATTTCCACTTAGGCACCTAAAAAGTAGAATAGAGCCTATCCTTGTGTTTTTACATTGTTTAGTCCAGTGGTGCCCAACCTCCAACCCATGGGACCATGCCATCCAGCTCATGGGGCCCCACCATTCCAGAAATGTGATGGCAGAGGAGCAGTGGCAGCATTGAGCAGTGGATTGTGCTGGATTGCAGGGATGGATCCAGTGTGCATGGTGTCATTTCAGTGCATGTGGGGTTACTTCAGCACACAGGGTTGGATCTGGCATGCACAGGGTCACTCTGCAGTTTGATCCAGCCAATAGAGAGGCCTCACACCTCTCATTCAGCCTGTGAGGCAAGAAGGTTGAGCGCCACTGGTCTAGCACAATGAAGCACTGTTCTGTATTTCAGCCTCTAGGTGCTAGTAGGGTGCAAATTAATTGTGATTGATTTGACTAATATACTTAATAGGGTATTTAAATTATACTTGTAGTGTAGCACATCCAGTAGTAATCAGATACCTCAGTAATGTGGCAATTCTATTACCAGTTTAACTCATGATTTCTCAGCTTTTTCCAGTACCATCTTCCTCCCCCATGATGTATGGGAAGGCAACCGTTGTCTTCCATCCCTAGGAATATAAGCAAGGGCTCCATCCAGGGTGCACCTTCTTTCTGCAACTTATCTAATAAATACTTCTCCTGAGAGCCCAGATTTTGTGAGTGAGTGCTCTCCCTTTCCAGTGAGGTGAGAGGGGTACTTTGTACTTCTGCATAGGTATTCAGCACCCTGCAGGTTCAGTCTTTTACAATTAATGGAAGGTGTAAAAGCGTTCTTAAAAATGTGGGTCTCTAGCACTATGGCACTTCTTCATTTAGTACTTTGCAAGTGTGTTGTAAAAATTTGCCCTGGAGACAGGGAAATGCAAATATAAATTAGATGGAGCTCTAATAACATAACATAACATTATGGAACAATGCAAACCATTTTGGACGCCCCACAGAGAAGTAATCCATGCATTCCTTTCTGAATCATCTTTATGGAAATTTCTATAAACGTACCATTATTAAAAGTGATTAGCAATTATTTCTTTCTTTGGTTCATCAGTTGGGGAAGAGGAATACTGTTTTCTTCCCTTTTCTTTCTTTTTCTTCCTCACACTCATCAAATATTTCTCATGCAACAGGAACTGACAGTGGAGAAGCATCTGCTGGTAGAATAGTGAAAGAGAGATGGGAAACCTGGTGGCTATCATTGCAGGGGAGTCTCTGGAGGTGGAAGTAGTTAAGAAAGTTGTAGAAGCAGAGGAGGCTGCAGCTAACAAGTCTGCTCAGGAAGCCAAAGCTATTAAGGTGTGTTGACATAACATTTGCAAGCTTCACAGGGGCCATCATTATAAATTAAATTTAATATTGATCAGACAGTTCACCATCAGGGCTGGAGGGAAATTGGACACAGAGTTCTTTGTAAAATTGGCACTTAGGATTCTGCTTTCTAATTAACATAGTAGAACAGAAAATCTAGGTCTGCTTACTGACCTCACATGGCATGGCTGCTCTCCTGTTCCCGTGGGCACTCAGAAAGTTACAGTAATTTCTAGCCAGTATAATCTTTCAAGGCTGCAGTTGCAGTCATAACATGGGCATTAAAAGCATGCCTGTAAGATAAAAGTTAAATCCAATGTATGCTTGCAAATGCTAGGAACTCTTTAATAAAGAGGCCTACTGGAAACTTTCCTAGTACTGGAATATTATGTGGAACAAAAAGCCTGAAGCTGTATATGACAATGCATTCTTTCAAGGGGTCCAGTGATTTGATACACAGTGACCGAACTTAATGATCCCACTACAAAATAGGATTATGTGTTTCAGAATATCTCCCCATCTTTACACAGCCATATTTTTACCACCAAAGAAGGCCATGTCTTCCTCTCCTTTTATTGCTGGAATATTTTCTTACCACTTTGGTAGACCCCCAGTAACCCCCACAGAGCAGATCACACTAGTGGCAGAATTTTCTTTTTCATTTTATACATTGTAACAGTGTCTCTGCCCTGTCACTAAGGATGGAGGCAGAAGAATAGGGTGTGATTCTTTTAATGGCAACTCTGTTTTACATAGCAGCTGAGAGGGGTGGAGTCTAGCCACCATATGAGCCAGACTCCTGGAGATGATAGCAGTCTGGGGCTGGCTGCAATGGAGAAAGAAGCTACAGAGAGGACTGCAGCAGACTGTACCAAAAGGACTGAGCCCAGCAGTGCTGCAGCAGCTTTGCTGCTTGTGGGCCAGGAAGAAGGTACCTGGAAGAATGGTGAGGGGTTTTTAAACTACAGGTTTTCTTACAGAAGACTTATTTTTTTGACTTCTTAAAAAGCTTTACATGAGGCAGCTGTACAGATGTTGGGGAGACCGCTTAGAACCCCCTTTAGAAAAGGAGAGTAACTCTGTAGTTTCTCCAAGGGCAGGATTCAGTAAGGGCCATTGCCAGGACCAAAAACTCTGCAAGGGCTGCTGCAAGACCCTACATTAATTCTTGGTGATGGAGATGGTGGATATTTTAGGGTAAGCCCAGTGGGGAGCCAAAGCATATGGCACAAAGGCCGAGTGGACACCTGCAACCAAAAACAGGTCGTTTGGTCATTTATGGGCTTACTCAACACAGACTCCAGAAAAGCACCAAGTGCTATTATCCATTGGGCAAGGGTGAGAGAGAAAACTTTATGGCAGCAACAGGTTACAGATTAGCAATCTAGCTATTTGAGGATGGTCTCACAAATCTATTTTTCATAACATCAAGGCATGGGAGGAGAGATGGGAGTGTGTGCTAGGGTACCAGGTAATGAAGCAGGACAAGGTAGGCTGAGGCAGGCCACTAGTAGGGGGGGGGGCACTCTAGGCTACCTGGGGGATTCCAAGCCTAGTATAGGACCGGCTTCAGAGCTGGTGTTATGAGACAGGCTTTGGCTTTTTGGACCACGACCCATACTTCTGAACAAGAGACATGGTCAGGTGGGATGGGCTTCATCTCTCCCCCAAAAGGTAAGCATGTGTTCTCTTTCAGGTTGGCTGATCTCCTCCAGCAGGCTTTAAACTAGGCTCATCAGGGGAAGGGGGGGACAAGGACAGAGGGATCCACGGAACACTAAACCATGAGATACCCACAGGATCAGCCCAGGTAAGTATCAAAGAACCTATTAGACAGGAGTATAGGGGCGTTCCAGGGGCAGTCACCAGGGGAATTAAATGTATATATACAAATACCAGGAGCATGGGAAACAAGCAAGAGGATCTAGAACTCTTGCTTGCAAGCAATAACTTTGACCTAGTGGGTCTAACGGAAACCTGGTGGGACTCTACTCATGACTGGGTGGTAGGAATAGAGGGCTATAGGTTGTACAGGAGAGATAAAGAAGGGGAAAAAAGGAGGGGGTATTGCTCTCTATGTCAAAGAACAGTACACATCTTCCCTAATCAAACTGGGATCAGAGGATAGACAAGCAGAGACTCTGTGGGTTAGGATCCAAGGGGTCAGGGGGAAAGGGACCTGGTGGTAGGTGTCTACTACAGGCCTCCGCACCAGGAAAATGAGCTAGATGCGGAATTTTCCAGGCAGCTCTCAGAGGCTGTGCTGTCTAGAGACATGGTAGTCATGGGGGACCTTAACTACCCAGACATATGCTGGGAGGAATAGTCAGCTAGATCTAACCACTCACACAGGTTCTTAACCTGAATTCAGGACCTTTACCTAACTCCTTACCTAACACAGGAGGTAAGGAGTCACACCAGGGGTAATGCCTTGCTTAACTTGGTGTTGGCCACAGGGGATGACCTGGTGGTGGACCTGCAGATTCAAGGCAACTTAGGGGACAGCGATCACCAAATGATAAAATTCACTATGCAGAGAAAGGAGGCCACTAGACCTAGCAGGACACAGGTGCTAAACTTTAAAAAGGCTGACTTTAATAGGCTCAGGGGTTTGGTTAGCATGGTACTAGGAACCAAGAGCCTAGATGCTTTGGGGGTCCAGGAGGGGTGGTCATTCCTTAAGGATACCATTCTTTGAGCTCAGAGTGAGATAATCCTATGGCAAAGGAAAGGGGGCAAAGGGGCCAGGAAGCCCCTTTGGCTAACCAGGGTCATCCAGGATACATTAAGGGGAAAAAAAAGAAGCATACAGGAAGTAGAATCAGGGGGTAGCTAGCAAGGAATACACTTCCTTGGCCTGCACCTGCTGGGAGTCAGTCAGGAAGGCCAAGGCAGCTCTGGAACTCAGGCTAGTGGCAGGGATTAAGGACAATAAAAAGTTCTTCTTTAGGTACACTGGGAGCAAAAAGAGGGTGCAGGGTAGCATAGGACCCCTACAGGACAGGCAGGGGGGCTTAGTGATGGATAGCAAGGACAAGGCAGAGCTCTTCAATGAGTTTTTTGCCTCTGTCTTCTTAAATAGGAATCTAGATGAGCCCTCGATACACATCACGAACACCAACAAAGGGAACATCAGCCGACCAATGACAGTGCCAATATAGTAAAAGGACACTTAGAGGGACTGGACGTGTTCAAATCACCGGGACTGATGGGACTCCACCCATGGGTAATGAAGGAATTAGCGAGTGTCATAATCGAACCACTAGCAGGGATATATGAGCACTCATGGTGCTCAGGTCAGGTCCTGGAGGATTGAGGAAGAAGGCCAATGTCATCCCAATCTTTAAGAAGAGAAGGAAGTAGGATCTGGGGAACTATAGACCGGTCAGCCTTACCTCTATCCCAGGGAAAATCCTAGAAAAAATCATCAAGGAACACGTCTGTGGGAGCCTGCTGGCTAATGTGATGCAGAGAGGTAACCAACATGGGTTTATAGCAGGCAGGTCCTGCCTGACTAACCTAGTTTATTTTTACAAGGCCACCAAATGTTTAGATGTAGGAGTCAAGGTGGACATTATCTATCTGGACTTCAAGAAAGCCTTTGACATGGTATTCCATACCTTCCTTATTAATAAAATGAGGAGATTTGCCTTGGATGATTGTATGGTAGAATGGGTAGCAAACTCACTCAAGGGTCACACTCAGAGGGTGGTGGTGAATGGGTCAGTGTCAACCTGGAAAGATGTGTGCAGTGGAGTCCCTCAGGGCTCAGTTCTGGGGCCGGTGCTGTTCAACATCATCAATGACCTGGATGAGGGGGTGGGAAGCACCCTATCCAAATTCGCAGATGACACAAAAGTATGGGGTGAAGCTAACATCCTGGAGAGGAGGAACCAGATCCAGGCTGACCTCGACAGGCTGGGGAAGTGGGCAGAGAGCAACAGGATGCAATTCAATAAGGACAAGTACAAGGTGCTGCATCTAGGGAGAAAAAACTGCCATCATACCTATAGGCTGGGGGGCAACCTTCTCAGCACCACTGAAAGAGATCTTGGAGTCACTGTTGACTCCAGGATAAACATGAGTCATCCATGCGATGAAGTAGTCGCCAGAGCCAATTGCACCTTGTCGTGCATCCATAGGTGCTTCACAAACAGGTCCAGGGAAGTGATTCTCCCCCTCTATGCGGCACTGGTCAGACCGCAGCTGGGGTACTGTGTCCAGTTCTGGACACCGCAGTTCAAGTGGGATGCTGACAACCTGGAAAGGGTCCAAAGAAGAGCCACTCGTCTGATTGGAGGCCTTCAGGGAAGGCCCTATCAGGAAAGGCTAAGGGACCTTAAACTTTTCAGCCTCTCCAAGAAAAGGTTGAGAGGGGACCTTGTGGTAGTGTACAAATTCATAAGCAACAAGAAGTGGGAAATGATCTGTTTACCAGGGCACGCCCTGGAACAACAAGGAACAATGGCCATAAGCTATTGGAGAGTAGGTTTAGACTGGACATTAGAAAAAAGGTTCTTCATGATCAGGGTTGCCAGGATCTGGAATGGGCTTCCAAGGGAGGTGGTGCTCACCCCATCCTTGGGGGTCTTCAAGAGGAGACTGGACAGGCACCTGGCTGGGATCACATGATCCCAGGTTTGGTGACCCTTTTCTTGCCTGCCAGGGGCAGGGGTCGGACTAAATGGTCCACTGAGGTCCCTTCCGACCCTAGAATCTATTAATCAAAATGGCACTTACCTAGCTGCATAATCACTGTTTTTTTGGCACTTGAACGAAGCTTGTGATCCGATTCCATGTGTAATGTGAATTCATAAGCACCCACAAAGCTACTTCACCTTCTCAGTAGATTGCTCTCTGGCTAGGCACATATGTGGTGCTACACATGTGTACCTAGGCAAGTATATTTTCTGAAATCATAGCAAGACAAAAACTTATGGGGGGGGGGCGGGAGAGAGAGAGAGAGAGAGAGAGAGATGTCAGCCCTCCAAAGTTTGCTTCAAAGTCCTCTGGTAAAGGGATTCACCCAGGAGGTGAGAGACCTAGGTTTTAGGGCCCCCTCAGCCAAAAGGGTTTGAACCTACATTTTATACTTCTCAACACAGTGCTCCAATCACCATGCCACAAATTAGGCATTATCCAGTCCATTTTCCATCTCTCCCTTTTCCTAAGTGCTGCTGGGCATTCTGGACTGCCTTTGTCTTGACAGAAGCAAGCTGCTTAGCACCACTCTTGCACTTAGACTTCAGTGGGATCTGCAAACTAGTTGTTCCCCTGCCTACCTCACCTGCAGCCCTAATTCAATGGATTTGATTTGAGCATGTCTAATCCCACAGCCAATAAGAAGTGATGGGACCCCATATCTGAGTGGTTGGAGCACTCCTTAGAGGTGGGAGACCTGCTTTTAGATACCTTCTTTGTCTGAGGGGGTTTGAATCTACCTCTCAGAGGGCTCAAGCCAGCAGAATGTAAGGGACCATCACTATATTCCCAACCCATAGCCCATGAAAAGCATTGTGTACATTTACAGTACTTTATAAAAGTTAAATTCATAAATAACATCAAATGGCTTTTGAGGGACTGGGAAACAGCCACTGTTAAAAAAGGAAAAACCTTAGGCACATTCTCAGCTCTGAACAAACAATGCTTAATAAATAATAACCTCTATTTCCACTGCCAGCTAGTGAGATGTGAAGCAGCAGGGACAGTAACACCCCATTTGGCTTAACATCGGTTGCTAGGGAAGTTCGAGGGTCATTATTGCACCAATCATCAGTCCTTCCAACCGTTGCCCACTGAAGAGAATGCTAGGACATAAAGCCCTCCCCACACCAAAAAACCTTTTGTTAGTTTGGAGCAGGAATAGTGGTTCTACTCTATGCTCTTATGCCACAAGGGAAGGAAGGGAGCAAAAGAAAACAACAGAGGTAAATCCAGGGTGTTCTTGCAGCTTGAGCAGAAGAAATGAGAGCAAAGCAAACCAATTAAACTAGCAGGGACTGTCCTCCTGGTAACCCCTGTAGAGTCTGGCTTAACTAACTCACATGATCCAAACCTCATGACTGGAAAAAGAAATGAACATGCACAGTTAAAGACCATTACTCCCTTCCTCCACACACCCCACAAGGCCATTGTTCCTAGCTTGAATCAGAAGGATGCATAGGTAGGTAGGGAGTCTATACTGGTGTGAAGTGAGGTGTGGAGAGCTTAATGTGGCTCTCCACCACCTCTGAAAAGTTAAAAGACTCGTATAGAGATTCTCCCGAGTGAACAAGATTAGCTTCCTCCTCCTGTGAGCCATGGAGATTAATTATCATTGAACTAGCCTTGAATCAGCAGGCTAAGCAACGGACAATAGTTGTCCTTAGGAGTGATTGCTGCCAGAAGTCTCCTGCAGGCAGCAAGCCTTATTGTAGTGGCATGAACACAAATGCTGTCGTAACCAATTTCAGAAAAGGTTGGAAGAAATAGGCTCTTTGAGTGAGACTATTCAAGTTTTTATGTCTCTCCTCTTCACCTGCAGTGCCCTGGTAAGAAATAGAGACTGCCCATAAATTGTAGTTAAATCTGTAATACCCCTGCACTGAACTGTCATCAAATGGTTACAGGTAAAATAACAAGACAAAAATGAAAACTTGAGAGAGACTTTTATTGCTTTTTAAAGGTCTTACATGCAAGATGCTTGCTTTATATTTCAGAGACAGCATGGAAAAACATTAAGAAGGCAGAAGCAAAATAAAACCTCCATATTTTAAATGGGCAGATTTAACCATCACTGTTATTTACAAAGTAATGTCTCTTTCATTTTGTTTAAGGTGTCTTGTTCAGTATTTTGTTCATAAGTGTCTCCCATTTGACTTGTTTCAAGATTAAGTTAAATGTCAAAATATCTCACCAGACTCATAAAATGATGCCATAGTAAGCAACATTTTAACTTTGAATGGGTAAAACAGTAAAACTAAACTGTATATTTTGACATTAACTGATAAAGTTACCTGCTATTTTGATGTCATCAGATTCCTGTTAGCATTAAAAAATAGATTAGGTAACAGTTTATTACTACTTGTGATGACCTTTATGTAATTTTATAGCACTTTATAGCTTTGTTGCAGTCTTCTCACAAGTGTTTTGTCTAAAATAAATGGTAAGTAGACTGTTACTCTGCATAATCTCAAAAAGGAGGTTTATTTCAGTAATTCTACAATACAACTGAGTTAAAACTGGTCCAGATGAGCTGGCTTATTGACCATGTCCTGTAGAATGATCCTTATATTTTTGTAGTCATCTGTTTAATACAGAATAAATGTGCTCACAAAAGCGTGATTGTTCCAGTATTCAAAGTTGAACTTGGATCCCTGAACTCTAGTAAAAATAGCCATTGTGAAAACTATATGTAATCTTCCATCCAGGGTCTTTCTTACCCTAACAGCAGTTTGTTACCATGAGGTAAAATTACACAATCTTCCTAACACTTGCCTTAAAAATATCAATGGGAGTGTATTAAGGTTACAAAATTATTTTAGAAACTGTTTGCAAAATGATGCCCATGAAGGTATTTATTTCATCACAATTTTAAGATGCACATTTTGGGGAGAGAAAAATAATGTTAGCTAAATATTTCTAACTGAAATTACAATGCCCATGAAACTTTGGTTGAGGGTAATAAATCTGTCTGTAATCCCTTATACTATCAGCAAGTAATAAGTGTTCTGCAATATAATAGAAGATACAAGATGTAAATCAAAGAAAGCAAATGAGTATTACATGGACAGTTCAATAAAAAGCAACATAAAAAGGTGGTAAAAGATAACAAAACAAAACAAAAAACAATCCAAAGGGAGCAGGTCTAGTAATGTGATGAAGATAAGGAGTATGATTACTTAAAGCCATTGAAGCACAGCCCAAGCTGAGCATACTATGGAAGCATCCCAAACTCTAGATGGAGTGCTGAAGACAGACACAGTGGGCAAAATTGTGTGTTCCCTCCCCAGAGACTATTACTTTGGCATTGCACCAAAGCAGGAGCCAGGCAGGGACTAGTTCCCCCACTGGTTCAATGGAGCTGCATCAAGGCTGTTTTGATTTGGACTGGCTGGCAATATCCCACAACAGGAAACACCTTGGCTAGGGACAGACATTCAAAAAGCCTGAGCCTGAATTGATTCAATCTTTGCGGGTTAATCTAACCTGGCCAGGCTGAACTGGTTTGTAACTGCACAGACATCCCAGACATGCAGGCACACGCCTACAGTGGCTCAGGCTAGAAGCTGGGGAGTTCTAGAGCAGCCCTCCTGTCTCTTCAACAGCACTGAGTTGAGGGGGCTAGACCCTGGCAGGATGTTTTGATTAGCCAAGCAGGGAATTGATAACAGTGTTTATCACCCCATTAAGAAAGCAACAGAGGGACGTTACCAGCTACCTGTTGATTCTACCTGTTGATTCAGCATGGACCATAGCCAGCATGTGTTCTGCTAGCTCCTACACAGATACCTCCTCAGCAAGGCAGAGGAGAGGGGGGAATTCCTGCTTAGCAGGAAGTGGTGAGGGGGAGAGGGGAGCAGCCTGCAGTCTGTGCTGGAGCTACAGGCAGGGAGCAGAGGGGAGGGGCCAGCCTTACTGTGGAGTAGAGAACCCTGCCCAGCCCAGAAAGCATGCCGGGATGCGGGGGGTGTCTAGGTACCTTACACAACCAAGGGGTCTGGGACACACAGTACATAAACCAGTTTGAGACAAATCAGTTAAGTCTGACTTATGACTTTTGAAATTATGACAAACAGCATTTATGACATTTGTAAACTGACACCCTGTTTCGAGGTTCCCATGCTGGTTTTGCCTTTACGATGGATGTCACACCTGTACCTAGCTGGTAAGTCTGCTGTGGTGGGGGGGGAGGGGAGAGAAGGGGCGTGGGGGAGGCAGACCAATGCCCCCGCAGTGAGGTGGGGATTGGGGTTGGGGCTGGGACTGGAACTGTTGCAAACACTGCCCAGGGAGGGAGTGGGGTGGCTTGCGCTGCTGCCGGTCTGGGAGCTGCTTGTCTGGTGGCATCTTGTCTGGCAGCTCTCACTGCTGCTGCCACCACCAGTCCAGGAGAGCATGGAGCAGGGGCATGTGCCCCAGCATCTGTGCAAGGCAGACATGGCTGGGGCTGTGCTGGGCTGAGCTCTGGGCAGAAGACAGAAGGTGAAAGATCCTGGGAGTGGGGGTATGACACACCCAAAAACTCATTGCAGTCCCCATAGTCCCTGCTCCACTGCCGACCCCACTCCAATCTGGAGGCACACTCCCAGCTGGAATGAAACCACTGCTCAACCAGTAGGCACAGGGAGGCCCGGCTAGCTCCCACTGCTGCATGCCACTCATCTGGAGGCAGCGCAGTGGCTCAGTCTTGTGCTGGGCCCATGCCAGCTGGGCCCAGCCCCAACCACCCCCAGCAGATCCTGCAGCACACACCCCCACCCCATGCCCT